TTCCTTAAATGTGCGGGTGCACCTGCCCTTTAGGTTTAGGTGTAAACGAATTAAGCGCTAATAGGGACGTTCTCCTTTCCCGCTGTGCTCGGTAACGTAAGGTTTAAAGCACGAAGCTGGAATTAGTGCCGTCTACTGACCAGCACCTTTTCACGTATTACAAAGCTATAGATAAATCTTTTTTGTTGCCTTCTTTTGGGAAGAGAGACCCTATAGGGCGCTTTTTTTTTTTTCTTGTCTTTTTGAGTTTGCTTTTAGTACTGAAAGACAGAAACAATTTAAAGGACGTATAATATTATAGAGACAGAACTGTTGAACGCCTCCTGCTGCTGTAATCACTTAAACGATCCCACCTGTTCTACAAGGGCTTTCTCAGTCATTTCCATCGCCTCTGAAAACTTACTGAACTTTACCCTTAACTGCGCAGAACACAACCCACCCTGTAGCAGGGGACACCGACTGTAGATCCCCCTCTCGGAGACAGGCAGCAGCCCCTACTGTGGGACTGGGCTCCGCTTTTGTACCCGTCTGCTCAGAGCGGGGTCAGACCCCACCAGCCGGGTGCGGAGGGGCTCGTCCGAGCCGCCTCCTGCCCCGCAGGTGCAGCTTATTAGTGTCGGAGCGAAACTCGGCTTTTTCCCCTTGGGGAATACACTGCGGTAGTTAGGTTGGCTGAGGAAAGGAGAGCTCTTAGAGCTGTGGGAAACGCTGGCGTGCGCTTTTTTTCTCCAGTCCAAACGCGGGTGTATTCGGTAGTTGTTGGACACGATCGTGCGAGGGTCGTGGGGAGGGGTGAAGGAGCACCAGCATTTGCCCCCCACCCGCCTCTTTCTCCCGCGCTATGGCTCAGGTAAGTACTCCTCCCTGAGGTGGAGAACCGGTAGCGGGATGGGGAACGGCACCGCCAGAATGATGCCCCCCGCGGGGAACGCCTGCGGGCCTCCGAAGTGGTTTCTCATGGTTGCAGCTTCCATAAACCTTTGGTTCAGAAGCGTGGGGTGGCCGAACCTTTCCCTAGGGATTAAGGAGGCAAAAATCACCTTTTGGGGTAGAGAAGGTAAACCAACAGTCTTCAGCTACTGGGTAGAAAAAATTTTTTGTTTGTTTTGTTCTCTTGTATTTTTATTCTCCCTTTTTAAAGGAAGAAAACCATGAAGAATGTAATAGTGAGGTGAACGGCAACATGGCAACCAGAGCAGAAGACTATGTAAATATCTTTTAAACGTGTCTTTAGCTTTACCTTGCAAACAGTCTGTGTATACTTAGGGGTGTGTTTTTAAATGGATATGGTATGATGTAGAATTTTCGTAATTTAATGTAATGTGGGAAGTGCTGCAGACCCCTTAATCTTTTCCTTAGTAAGCAGGACGAAATTACTAGAATAGTTGTGGGACATGATATGACTTGCAAACTGAATATACTAAAGAGTTGCTGATTTCCTTATCCAGAATCCTTTAGGATTACTCAGTTTCAAGTGTCCTGTCTCTTTTGGAGATTGATTGATGGTTCACCCACAGATGTAAAAGCAAAATGGAAGTAGTGAAACAGAGTAAACACAGAGAAACACAAAGACTCTAAGTTAAAATAGCATTGCAAGTGTTTTCTGATAATCAGTGTTGTTACAATTTAAATGCCTGGTTTACTGACTATCTGTTTGCTTCCCTTCCCTGTGCAGCTCGAATCACTTCTCACTGATGCTTTTAAGGGAAAGGGGTTTCAGAAAATAAGTGAACTGCTTCAGGAGAGAGAAATAGAACCTCCCCAGAAATACAGTGAATCTCTCTTCAATCAGCTAGACAAAGCACTGAGAAAGGCGAGTACCATAAATAATCTCAAATACCCTAACACCCAGCTCTGTGGGTACCAGACTAATGATGTGCAGCACTCTGTGTTTCTGTAGGAGCTGGACAAGAATGAATTCCAGAATATTTCCCTGATGCTGAAATGTATTCAACTCTACTTTAAAAGTGATCTTCAAGAAGGGACGAGTTTGTTTATTGAGCAAGGACTGGTAGAAAAGATGAGTATAATAGTGTATATGAAGTTACTAATGTGATTTAACGTTGCTCATATCAGGAAAAGAACTCCAAGGAAATGAGAACTAGAAGATGGCTTGTCGCAGAAAGGAATTTTTTTATTTTTATTTTTTAAACATATTGTATGAGTTCAGTGGGAAAAAAATGTCTGCTTTTATTATATTGCTTTTCGTACAGCAGCTAACATCATGGCTTCGCTTTTTACGTGACTGTATGGGTATGTGTTTGTTTCGAGGTTTTTATTTAAGCTGACAGTGGAAGGAGAGGATGAGTTTTCATAAGTCCTATTTGAGAAATAACATAGAATTCCTAAATACATTTTAAGTGATCCAGTAAAATACAATTCCAGTAATAGAATTGATGGGCAGAGCTTTATAGTTTTATAAACTGACATACTCTTTATGAAGGTCCCTTTTTAGATCCATAGTAAACTTGATGTGCATCTAATCTGCAATTGCATTTTATCTTCAGGCACAATACTGGTTTTAGCTGGTAATACTTGTAGTACCAGAAATATACTTATGCCAAAGATGAGCAATACCTGGATCTACCATAGCTGGGAGGGAACAGTTAACACTTGCTCTGTGTTAGCAGAGTTGTACCCAAGCATCCTTAGTCTAAAATGCTGTCATCCTGCCTTGTTATTATGCTTTTCAGGGTTACAGTTGATCAAAATTCCTGTATGGAGAGATTAATAATAAAGCTTCACCAATCTGACCACTGTACCTCCAGTGAAGCATAAGTTTCTAGCTAGCTATAGGTGTGTGACGATATACAGTATGTTTAAAAGCATAGAGTAGTAAAATAATGACTTTGAAAAAGCTTGTCAACTTTTTAAAACATTATTTTACTGTGATTTGATGTCTGCTAGAAATCTTCATAGAGGTCATGATGCCACTAGCAATATGCATTGAGTCCAGAAGGTCCTGAGCACCAAGAGTGAGTGCCTTGACATAAGAAAGGAGGACAAAAAGAGGGCTGAGGAGGGAAGGGGAGGAATAAGTCCTGCTGAGTTACTGTAAGGGTGGCACTTTAAATGTCCTCCCAGCAAAATTTAAAGTCCTTAATGCTGTGTAGCTTTTGACAGAGTACATGACTGAATTTCAAGGACTACAAAAACCTGTCTCTGTTTAAGGTTTCCTGCAGATATCTGTAGTTTAAGGATTAGTAACTTGGGTTTTAATTGATTCTTTTAACTTTTACCTGGTATCTTGGTTTGAAAGAGCAAGGGAGTTTGTGAACCTCATCGACCAAAATGAGAGTAAATTATTGATGCTACTTCTTGAAGACTTCTTTGACTCTGCATTGGTACGTATGTGTATTAAGGGAGCAGAAGGGTTGACTTTATTGGATAAGAAAGCTAACTCTCCACAGACTGTAAAGAAATGACTGGTTAGAAAGACCTTGTGCCCTAGGACTGAGCCTGGGCTGCTGCTCAGGTGGAGCATGCTCTGGGGTGACACACCTGGGAGAAGCTGCTGTGGGGTTGTGCAGGACTGCAGCCTTTGCTCATTTTCTAACATGGAGCCAAATGTTTGTTTTTGCAGGAAAATGTGCAAGAAATTCTGGTGCATTTTTAAAAGAAAAGCTTTTGTGCTGAAGCTCTGTCTTGAAAACACAAGTTGCTGCACTGAGCTGCACCTTAAGTGCAAATGTGCTTGCCAAGGTGGTCCTGGCAGTTTGTTCCTTCTGTGTTTGAAAGAAGCTCATTTACTTTTAAAGAATAATCTGACCTGCTTACTATTTTCATTTAGCTTGCTATTTTAAACTTCAGAGGTACTGGAGGCCTGGTGACATAAATCTGCATGAGGAAGAATGCTTTTAGCTTCTTTCACTAAGCTGTTCCCTCAATCTTTGTCTGTACCTTACTAGCACTGTGTCAGTTTGTGCATCAGAATTTATTCGAATACTTATGACTCTCTTTAGGAGACTTGATAAAGATAGTTGAGCAAAATTATATTTTCCTTATTTTTTAATCTACTAAACACATTAAAATTATATTAAATACTTTAGAAGTGATTTATTTGCCAAAACTTGTTTTCTTTGTCTTCCTGGTCAATTTCCCTCAGGAGACCCTAACACTCTTCAAATATGCTGTGATATCTGTATGATATCTGGTACTGTAGTGTGTAAGCATAAAACGTATTTTTACACAGGCCCATATGTGTAATAAAAGTAACAAAGCAATGCCATGATGTGGGTTTCCCAGGGAACCTGGGGGCACTGCACTCTGGCACTGCTGAAATCCCGGGGGGAAGTGGGTGCCTCTCTCTGTTTACCATCCGTGCATAAAGCCAACCTGTATGATTGGGGTTACCATATGTGACATACCTGTATCAGGTGGCCCTGCTTTTTCTGATGTGGGTACACTAGTGTTTTATGTTATTTAGCCCCTGAAAGTTGCAATGATGGGTGCATAAACATCTCAGCACTTTGAGTACTGCTGTGCTTGGGTTGTGGTGTGTTAATGAAGGCTTCCT